TTCTCATAAATATGGAAGAGTATTCGCCCCTCTTTTATGCATTAACGTGGCATAACGAAGCAGCTTCCGACAATGATGGCTATCTGCCGTTGGATCTGGCGGAGAATTTTCCGGCTAATACTCTTTTACATCTAGCAGCTAAAGGTCTAAAACGTGATGAGGTCGTTTGCATCCTGAAAAAAGCTCTTGCTTTCGGAATAATTAATATATTTGCGTTGCGAGGAGGTAATTTAACTCTTCCACCAAACTCCGATTTTCTTAATCGTGTCTTATATTTATATTTATAATCACAAATATATCTCTAGTGGTTTATTAACGTGGATAAAATTAATAATTTTTTAATGGAAAAAAATTAAATTATACAATTACAAATTATTAAAAAATTTTGAAACAGTTTAATTAATTATCGATTAAAGATTGGTTGGAATTTGATCGAAGTACTTTTTTTTAAATTGTATTAATTTTTTTGCAGCGGCATAATTCGAATTCTCAAAAAGCAAAAAGATCTAAATATTAAGATATATATGACGTAGAAATTAAAAAATATATTTTTAATTTAATTGTTGAGATACATTCCGGCAAGCTCGAGATACAATCGCATTAGTGTATTTTGTAATGTCGTTATGTTTCGCAAACGATTGATTTGCATGCCTGCGATTATATCAGATCCGGAGAATTCATGATAAAACCTGTTCTCGAGTGGCTCGAGTTTTATCGATTTGTCCAAGTATTTAAAGCCTAATCTATAATATTCTCTTTGTTTCTTGTTTTTTATCACTTTTTATCTTTATTTTCTTATTTCTGGCCAAATAAAAATTGATAATCAACTTTGAAAAAGACATGAAATACGTCAAAAGAAACGCGATTGACGATAAAACAATCGCAAAGAAGAAGAAAAAACATGAAGGAAAAAGTAAGACACAGAAAGCAAAGAACATATTGAAAATTAAATTAGGCTTTATTCCAGCACGCATTGTTTAAATTTCCTTATGATGTCTTTAAGCCGGCCATACACGTCGATATAAATTTTTCATCTTGTCAAGTATATACATGCTTGCGTAAGCCATCCAAGGAAAAAACGCATCATGCATTAAATATGTACCATAAGCTTTACTGCAATTAAATTAAATTAAATTTAAATTTATAGTAAATTAGTAGTAAATTTAAATTTACTAATAAAGTTGTGTAAATTAATTCGACAAGTTTACTTGAATGAGTGTGGCTGGCCTTAAATATCTTTTAGACAATGGTATGTTTCAAAAAACATGTCTTTTTCTGATATTTTATGACGTTTTTTAGACATACCTATATGTTGTCTGGATTGTCGGGAAAGTACATATTTAGCCGAATTGCAGATTCGTTATCCGAGAATGGTGACTTCGAACATGCAGCGGATCTGGTAGTTTTTATCAGACAGCGATTTGGCGATACGTTCTGTGTGTGCGTTGCGGGTTATCCACAAATGCATCCCGAATCACCGTCTAAGGAGCTCGACTTGCATTACCTGAAAGCGAAAGTAACGATCGATAACATAGTTGGGCGAGTTATATCTTGTATCTCTAATTTATCTCTCTTGAGCAAGAGATAACGCATTCAACACAAAAGCAGCAACATTGTATTGTTACGGCCGCTTGATTGCATCAACTTACTTTGACTTTATAAGTGAGGCTTAAAACTCTCACTTTTTCTTTTTAAAGCTAAAAGAGAGGACGAGATGCAATCGGGTCTAAGATCTGGTGCTCGATACATTTTTTCCTGCTCATGTTTTAATGAAACTAGAATTGCATCACACAATTAATACAGAATTTCTAGTAATTTACTAAGTGCAAGCAATCCAAGAACAAATGCATCATGTATTATAGGCCTTATTGCAATTAAATTAAATTTAAATTGCTATAGTCAATTTAAATTTTTAGTCAATTTAAATTATATTCCTAGTAATACTCTTGCTTGGAAATTGCCCAGCGAGCAAGAATTTCAGTTTTTAAATACTTGTAGGTGCAGGCGGGTGCGGATTTTATTATAACGCAAATATGTTTCGATTCTCGGGTCCTAATAAATTTCGTGAGGGATTGTCGAGAGATTGGGATTCAAATCCCGATCCTACCTGGAATTCTCGCGCCGACAAATCATGCATGTCTAGAAAAAATGATAGACATATGCAGGCTCGACGTGCCGATCAAAATTAAAGAAGATTTGGCACGAATGAAGGACGACGATCAGGCGGCGAGGACATATTCAGTCGACTTGATAGCGCAGATAATTACGGACGTGATTAGAAATGGAGCTACGTATGGTTTTCATTTATTCACACTGAATAGGTAAAACATCAATAATAATACCTTAAATTTAAACGAGAGTAATACTAAATTAAAAAAAAATAATTTTTTTCATGTTTCGCATATATATTTATATTGTAGATTATCGCTGGTGGCGGAAATATGTAAACGCATAGAATCTTTCAAAGCTGAAAACTTATAGAAAAACATGATTCCAGCAGTTCTTGAATATCCTTGGATTCTGGAATTATACTGGAATTTTATATGTACTACGCAAAAAAATTAAAGGCTCACCTAGTCCGTCCTGAAAAAAAGGTAAATATTCAAAAGAGTGTAACTTTGTCAAAAGAATCATAACGAGATTTAAAAAAAAAAGCATTTTAAAGCTTGAAATATCTATACTTTCAAGATCGATAATTGATATTTCGATCAGATTGATTTTTACGGAGCTATACGACAGAAATGAGTATCAAATCTGAAAATTTTGTACAAACTTTACAAAAGTCTATGGCGTGAAATAAAAATCAAATGCTGTTTACAGCAGTCGAAAGAGTGAATCTTTACTTTCAATTTGCTTTTTTATTGAACATTGTACGATTTTTTTTCAACGAGTTATTTAACATTGACGGATACCCTTTTCTGTTCGTATAACTCCGTAAAAAATCAATCTGATTGAAATATTAATTACCGATCTTGAAAGTAGATATTTCAAACTTTAAAATATTTTTTTTTAAATCTCGTTATGATCATTTTTGATGAAGATATACTCTTTTAAATATTTACCTATTTTTGAGGGCGGTCTAGGTGATTCTTTAATTTTTTTGCGTAATGTATTTTGGAAAATTCCTAGAAAAAACCCTGGAATTTTTTAGCTTGCCTGGAATTTATTAGTCCTTCATTTAAAAAAAATTAGAGCGTGAAAAAAGAAAAAATAAGAAGAAGAAAAGTTGTGTTTAGGTATAAGTCTCCTCCCTTAAAAATGCAATAATATAAGTTACCAATAGAAAATGAGAAACTTGAATTTAATATCTAAAATAGAACAGTAGAAAAATTGTTTGTTTTGATGAAATGTTCGTTTGATATTATTTATAAAGCAATAAATGATATTGTTCCAAATTTGTTAGCGTTTTAATTCATTCTTATAAAAAATCCTAACTTTTAATTACAAAGCATATAATATTGTGCAAATCGATGAAAATTAATTAAATAATGAAAATTAATTGATGGGATAAATTCTGAAAAAATCAAATTTTTTTCCTAGAATGTCCTGAAATTATCCTTAAATTGACTAGTCAGATTTTGCATAAAAAAATCTTATAAACTCCATGAAATAAATTGTAAAAAATCAAGTGGAGAAAATCAAATTAATTTTTTTGTCGAAACAGAATAAAATCGAGCATATGCACGTTTTATTTTAATTAGTATTAATTAATTAAACTCATTGTAATTATTAATTTGTGTAAACATATTCATAAAATGAGACATAATGACACAAATATCTCATTCTATCTTTTTCAACATTTAGTGAATGTAACAGCAAAACGACTTGTGTTGACTTATGTCACCAAATGAAAAGCATCCAATGTGGCTCTCGCCAGTATATAGGATTAACTTAAATTTTATCTCGGTTTAACTTATCGTTTATCTTTTTTATTTCTTAGACTTTAATTAAACGTTTTATCTTTTTCTAATTCTTAGAATCCTTATAATTAAAAAAAGACGAAAAATAAATTAAACCAAGATTAAAGACCCAGACAGCACAGAATATTTATGATAAATATTTATTAATATTCGTTTTTTGGAATGCTACATAGATATTTTATACATATTTTATATAAAGCTTTATTCGAAATATTATTAAAATATAGACTAAATATTTTATGCAATATTTATGATAAATATAAATAAA